ATCTAATAAAGACTTGTGATTGGTCTAAATGGTGATAGAAGAACATAATCTAACAAAGACTTGTGATTGGTCTAAATGATTTGTATAGTTAATACCTTTTTCATGGTTGATAAATGATCTTAGCTCTCTCTCTCTCTCTCTCTCTCTGTCTCTCTCTCTCTCTCTCTCTCTCTATATATATATATATATTGTGATTGGTCTAAATGGTTTGTATAGTTAATACATTTTTCATGGTTAACAAATGTTATAAACCCATGAAAACCAATCTCAAAGTAAGAGAATATAACAAATATGAACCCTTGTGGTGAAATAATCCACTAAAGATTCAATGTATTTATGTGTTTTATCACATATAAAACAAAACTAGGATTTGTCCGAATCTGATAGGTAGAGACAGAACCCAAACTGGCACTTCATCTTCGACCACAAAAAAATTTGGTTTTGGTCTAATCCGATCTGAAGAAGTCCGATCACATTTGTTTGGTCTGATCCATTTTAAAGTGGGGAAAACAACAAAATCAATACTAGTTTAAAACCAAAAGGGGTTTTTATCTGATACGATTCAAAAATCCAGCTTGAAAGACGACTGATGTTCCAGTCTGTCTTAGATAAAAGATGTTGATAACCAATTTTAACTTTTTATCTGATTTGATTCAATCCAGCCTGTGAGGACTTATTCAAATATCCATCTTTACTATTAAGTGTCTACTTTTTGAGATTTGAAAAGGGTGAAATAATTGGAGTTTTCCACTTAACATTAACACAAACAAAAGTCATGAGTGCCAAACTCCACATACCACTTGGTAACTTATTTGATTGCTTTTGCCACTACCCACTTTTATATATATATATATGATTGATCAACTACTTTTGGATATCATTACTTTTTATACATATCACAAAGTCTAATGGATAAACTTTCTTTATGTAAAAAAAGCATTTTCAATTATGGTATCCAAAAGTCCAAAATGTGTTACATAGGGGTGTTTGTGGTCCGGTTTAGGCAATTTAATCTCTCAGACTACAAACCAAACCGTAATGACGGTTAGTAAAATTTTTAAACCAAGCGGTTTGTCATCAAGTGTCCAGATCGGTTAAACCAGACCACGAAAAGACGGTATGGTCTGACCGGTTTAGACGGTTTGGGTCTTTAATGGACTTTAAATATTAAACTTAAAAAACATATATAATTTAGAATTTTAGATTAAATATCCATTTTAACAAAACAAAATATCTAAACAAATAAATGTAATAATTAAGCAGCTCTTGAGTACAAAGTCGAAGCAATCCAAAGTACAAACAAATAAATATGTAACATATTAGAAAACAAACAAATTAACAAAGTTACAACTCTACTGTGAGTATTGAGTAACAAAATCCACGACTTCACAATCTTCAATGGTTCAATTCTTGAGTCTTGAGTTCTTGACCAAACAAAATAGAAGCCAAATCTAAGTTGGATGAATCACTTGGTTGATGTTTTGATGATGTGCGCCGAAATCAAACCATGGATTAGAAAGATCAATAGATTGATGGAGTTCTTCAGGGATTCCAAATTTGGAGAACGTCAATCTCAAATGTGTCGATATGTTCAATGGTTTAATGGTTTTAGTCGTCGATTTTGATTATCTTAGATGCTAAGCTTCGGGATATATTTGGGTCATAGACAATAAGTTAAAAAAGTTGGGCTTGCTAATATTAAAATAAATATATATATATATATATGTATATATATATATGTATTTGGCAGTCGGTTTGGTTCAAACCGCCCAAAAAAAGGTTTCAAACCGCAGACCGGACCAGATCGTCCGGTTTTGCTATTTTCCAAACCAGACCGGACTGCCAGACCGCTCAAACCGCCAAAAACGGTTCGGTTTGACTTGGTTCGGCCGGTTTGAACGGTCCAACGGTTTTTTTGAACACCCCTACGACTTAGTTGTCTGTTTGGTAAGAAAAATAGTGCAATATCTTACGACAGATTTCGGGAAATTTTAGTATTAGGATGAACCATTTTTCTATTAGGTAGATAAGTTCATTACAAGAAGGTTGGACTCTGACGACGCGCCTTTCGTGAATACATGTTTCAGCCACTACTAGAAAACTAGGTATTTCCAACGAAAAAATCCGTCGACCACCTCAGCTTTTAAAATCTTAATCTAGATGATGTACGGGCATGCAGAGGAGAAAGAACGTCTTGTTTCATAAGTAATGTACATGGTCGACATCCTTACAAGTGCATCACATGTCATGTTTTTAAACCATCCATCTATTATCAAGAAAAACCGAATAAATACGTGATACGTTTATAAATTTAATGATGCATATTTTATTTATAAAAAAAAGATGGGTTTACAGAACACTTCTTAATATATCTGCACCAATAGATGATTAACAGAAATTCCATACAACCAACTCGGTTTTTTAAATCTTTTAGATAAGGTATGGGTGGAGGAGGAAGATCGTCATGTTTCATAAGTACTGTACATGGTGGATGTGTTACCATACAAGTGCATCACATGTCATGTCTTCAAACCATCCATCTGTTATCAAGAAAAACTGAATCCATACTTGTTATGTTTATAAAATAACTACTGATATAAAGTTTCTTTATACTTTTAACGATAAAATGGAAGCTCGTGGAACAATCTCAATGAGTCATGACTTTTAGTTCTCTGTATTTTGAGTAATTCTAGAAAAACACGTGAATCTCAATGAGCCAGACATAATTTATGGGTGACATCAATTCAACGGAAACTTGTCCTGTGGTCAATATCACTCGGTTTTTGTTCGGTTTTAAATGTTTGGTTTTGTATTACTTGATGTTACGTTTGGGATGGTGATGTAATTGACTTCTGGTATTATTGTTATCTTATCTTATTGTCGGTTTTTATTTCGAAAACATGAAGTGCTTTTTGTCATCATACAAACTTAGACTCCATAAAATATTGTATTTGGTTTGTTTCTAGATGATTTTTGGTGACTTTGCAAATCACCCACTTCTTGTCAACACATTTCTAGAAGATAAAAGTGAAAGAAACTTAGGAACCAAAAGATCAAAACAGAAATATAATGTGGCAGGAGCATAGAAATCAAATAAAAGTGAAAGAAACTTGGGAACCAAAAGATAAAAAAAAAAAAAAAAAAAAAAAAAAAAAAAAAAAAAACAAAGATACACAATGTGATACCCATTGTGATATATTGTGATACCGATTTCACCGGAGGCCGGAGATTGGAGGTCGGAGAGATGAGAGAGAAGAGAGGAGTTTTTAAAAAATACCTAATATGCTTTCTAATTATAATTTTAACTCAAACTACCATAATTATTAATTTTCTAATTTATCCGTTGATTTGTGGTTGAAATTAGACCTCACAGTTACCACAAACTAATTAGTTATCATTTGATTAGGCATATATATATATATATATATATATATATATATATATTACAACTTTTTGTAACATTTTCATTTGAATATGGTTTAGTAGTTGGTAATCATCAACTACTCAAATAACAATGGAGTTGTATGGAGTTGTTGAGCTACATACATACATATATACGGTTGGGTTTACGTGAGACCAATGGTTTTTTGTGAGACCCGTAAGACCAATTTATGTTCATTAATCAACTTTATAAGCTAATAATCTAATAGTCTAAAGATGTACGGTGACAATTTTATGATTATTGAGAAGTTTCAAGAAAAACTCTTGGTCTCACATGATCTCAAGTCTCTCTCAATTTATATATATATATATATATATGTACATATAAAATTATATACATGACAAACAAATATGTCGTCTTATGTTACGTCTTGTAAAACGTTGCAATCTCGCCTTAATATGTAAGTCGTAAGGCATGACCTCATCATCTAACCATACTTCACGTCATTTAAAACCTTGATAAAGAAAATCTTTTGTTTTTCTATTTTAAAAATAACACAGATAATCTTGAAGCAGAATAAAAAATAAAATCATTATTTTCTCTGTTTTAAAAAATCAGATGTTTTCATCTGTACGTTTTTGGCCCGTCGTTTTCTTTTAAATCTTCAGTTGCCATGTTTCTTTCACTTTATCCTCTAGAAATATATAGAAGAAAAGTCTAATCTTGTAGAACAAACCAGATATAATATCGAGTGAAGTCGCTTATTGTTATGATTTTTAAAATACATGACGTTTTTTAAAATAAAAAGAGGTGAATGACCATCCCCAGTATAAAAATCAAAATAAATATTAAAAGGAAAAAAAAACCCGAAAACGAGAAACTGAAGAAAAACCGAATGATTCTTAGCAGAGGAAATTAAAACGTCAACAGATTAAGTTGGTCAACTAACAGTTAGTTTATCAGCTAATAGTTAATTTATTTGCTAGTTTCAAACGCTGACATCATCTGATTTATAAGAAAAAAAATTCAAACGGTGACACCTTTTGATTATAAGAAACAAATATAGGGATACAATTTCAAAAGATTGAACCGTTTGACTAAAAAAATGACAATAACAGGAGTCAAACTCGGGTCTATGGTAGAAAAAGTACCTTGCAAACCAATTTTACGAAGAAAAAAAAACTTGTTCTCTTTGTAGTTTCAAAATACATACGGTGACACACAACAAATTAATATGATTGTATCTTCCCGAACCTAAATTTTTGTACCATTTGACGGAGGAATAATACGGTGGCACCATGTTGGGTCCATCCATGAGTGTAGAGCATTTTCGTTCTTTTGTCCATGTTTCATGTTTTCTAACCATCATTAAACTTACCATCAAACTCGTTATAATTTATTCGAATATCGTTTTCGTTTGATCGAAATGAACATAAAATATATCGTTAGAACCCTTCTGTATACAACGCCAACTACTCTAACAAACAATGAAACAACAGAAAGGTTCGGCGTTTAATCTATATTAGTAGCAAATCGACCACCACATATCTCTTGTTGCAACATAATCGACAAATCCAAAACGAGCCGCTTTTCTCGGACGTCGGTCGAAGTGGGTTGAACTTCAATCGTCAAGTCGTCGTTTTCGGGGGTTTCATGCCAAATCCGTACTTTTTGCTCTCCACTCTACAAACACATCAGAATAAACGTCTATTTTCAAAAGTGTCTACTTTCTTATTCTAGTAGAAATTCATTACTTCTTGAGTAAATTAGTTTTCCACCCTTATGGTTTGTTAAAAATTACGATTTTTGTCCCTATGGTTTAGAAATTATAGTTTTTGCCCCTATGGTTTGTAATTCATTGTTATTCCATCTTTATGATTTACAATTTACTTTTGTTTTGGTCCTTGTAGTTTACAATTTTACTGTTTTGGTCCATTGTACCTTAAGGTTGGAATTAGTCCAAGGACGAAAATTGCAATTTCTAAACCATAGAGACAAAAATCCAAATTATTAACAAACCATAGGGTCGAAAATCATAATTTACTCGTACTTTTTCTATTATCAAGGGTAAAATTGTCATTTAGTTAATAAAAAGTTGTAATAATTACACATTTCTAAAATTGTGTACCTTTTTAATCTGACATTCGTTTTGGTATGGATAAAAAGTGTGTTTTCAAGAATTGGGCTTTATGGTTCGTTTGAAAAAAGAGTTGGATCAAGTAGTAATCGGTTTCGAAAGCGATTAAGAACAACGATCGATGGGTCAAACTACGTTGCCAGCTATACCGTTAGCAACGACAAAGAAATCGAGCATCGATAACACGACCAGCGGTGAACAAAAAGGGCAAAATGGGAAGTCCAAGCATAAGAACAGGATCGGGAACTTACGTAGGGGCGAGTTTTCCGAGGCAGTGAAGCTTGTTCCCTGAGCACTCATCAAGGACTCTCCCCGAGATCTCGATGATGTATGATTTATCCCGATCCATCGGGAGCCCTCGGCTTGCAAGCAGATTCAAGTCTTTCTCGTGCAGTTCTCGTCCGTTGACAAAAACGCCCGTGTGGCCGTCAGCGCAGTTTTTCGGCATCGGATAGTTTAATTCATCGATGAATGGCTGCCAAAACGAACATAATGAGCCAATTTTCAAACAAATCAATGATCAAGAAATCGAGCGAATGACTTTGATGATGTAAAAAGTCAAACGCTCGAGAAATTACCGGAATTATGCCACGACAAGGGCCGCCCATCATGCCCCAGAATCCCGCTCTCGAATCATACCTGATGTTAACAAAAACAAACGGTCCGGAAATCAAGGGTAAAATTGTCATTTAGTTAATTAAAATGTAATGGTACAGAGTGAGTAAGTTATGTACGTTTTTTTTGTAAACGAGGACTTACCAGTAATCCCCGGGCTGTATCGGTCCGGAAAGCTTTTCGGCTTTCTTGATCAACCGTTCGGGTAACGAATGCCCATTGACCGTAATGGCAACGGTACCGTTGACTTTTCCGTTGTCAAAGTTTTGATTCAATTTGGAAAGTTTGAAGCTTTTCTTGATCATCCCCACGAAGAAAGATTCGCGCCCTCCTCCTGTATCGTTTCGTTGATCTACCGATTCTTGAGACGTGCCCGTGTTAACGCAATACTCGCTCGCAGAGATCTCGATCTCAGTGGCGACCGCAGCGTCTTTCATCGAGTTTTGGAGGGAATTTGTGGAGTAATCGAAATGATCTTGAAGCCGTGATCCCGAAGGCGGTGAAGACGGTTTCGTGGATTCGGATTTCGGATCTTTGATAGGAGCAAGATCGGCATCGGCCTCAGAGGTATACGAAGATGATGAACGAATGCTTCTTGTTGACTTGAAGGAAGTCAAACTTCGAGTTCCTAACGGTAGTCGATCTAACGATCGGAAATCGAAATCGACCGAAACATCGAAATCGTCGGAGGAAGACTCGATGATACTCCATTTTGTGTTTCTACGCCTATTTTTTTCGTTACCGTTACTGACTCCTTTCTCACAGTTCGTAACGAGCTTCTTGTTGACAACCGAAAGCAAGATCACTTCCGAGCATGCTGCACATCTGATTTTCTTTCGGGTGTTTCCGATACTTTTCTCAGGCATTTGAAGCAACTCAAAGCAGTTGCAACATGCCACAAACGGAGAGCCCCCAGCTACAGGGCGGCACCGCCTCCCTCCGGCGGCTAAAATCCCTCTCCGAGGACGAGGAAGGTCACCTGACCACCACGAGAACCTCTGTTTGTGATCATGGCGGTAGTAAACAGGCGGCAGTGGCGGTGGAGGAGGGCCAGCTTGGTGGCAATTAGTATAGCAAACCAAACACGAACACGAAGGGTGGTGAAATTTCCGAAAATCGCCCGAATCTTTATTAAAATATCTCCCGGGAAAGTAACCATGATACGCGTTTTGATCGAACGGAGCTCGTCTAACGATTTGCGACCTAATCGGATAGTTAAAGAACGAAGCTTTTTCTTTCGATTGATCGCCTAAAGGGCGAGATCGAACAATTTGATCCTTAAGTTCGTCTAATTTTCTTAAAAGCTCCACTCGATCATCTTCTACCTCCGGCTCTACGTACACGTTACCAGACCTAAAATGGTAATTCGACGGACCCTCGTCCACTTCTCGTAAATGGTCGTTCCGTTGTGTCCGAATCGAGGACCAAATGGATCTTCGTGATCCGTTAATTCGGGTTTCCGGATTCTCCAATTCTTGATTCATTTTCAAACTCCCCATTTGTTCAACAGTTCTATTATCTATCTTCATACTCCCATTACTTTTAACATCATCTTCATCAAACCCGAAACTCGAACTCTTCGGTTTCCGATTCGAGAAATCGGCATCTCGGAATCCTTCAGGGTTTTCATTCGAAGCCCCCGGTTTTTCTTCGTCCAAAGCCGGCATGGATTCGATCGGTTTACTCCTTGCTGCAAATCATCACACAAGTTCTAAAATCTTGAAATCATATGAAAATTTTATGATATATCGAGTTTACAGGACACCAAAAATGTTTAAGTTTCCTAATAATCGTTTTATACGATAAGTTTATAAGGTGTTGTAATAAGTTTATATGATATTTTTGCGCATCTTAACAAATCCTTATGACATTTTTAAAATAAAGTATCATATTAATTATTTTACAGAAAGTGGGCTCATAAATATTTTTTTTTAAAAGACATTAAAAACAATTTTCAAATAGTTTCCTATTAAATAACTAATACAAAGCTTATTTTTAAAAATGTTCTAAAAAGCTTATTTTAAAAAATGTTCTAAAAAACTTATTAAGACGTCCAAAATCATCTTATAAACATATTATAACACTGCTAGATAGAACGTTGATTTGCATCAATCTATAATAACACTTAGGGGGCGTTTACCAAACGTTTATCCGGGTAAGTGCTTACCGGTAAATTCAACATTATCTCTTACTTACAATGGTATTATCAAATGCAACAATTTACCTGGTAAACGCTAACCGTGGTAAGTTATCGCTCTCACTTATCGGGTAAGACTCTCGGTACTTGACTTTGTTCTTACCAGTTAAGATTCTTAGTACTTAACGGGTAAGTCTCTCGGTACTTGACTTTGTTCTTACCGGTGAAGATTCTTAGTACTTACCGGGTAAGACTCTCGGTACTTGACTTTGCTCTTACCGGTTAAGATTTTTACTTGATAAGTGCTTATCCGATGAGCATTTGATAAACGGTCTCTTATCCATTTATTTTACGTCTTATAAACCAATTTTATTTAGAAAAAAATAAAATCTTTCACAGAAACATAGGATTTTCCCCCAAATCAACATTAGAGACAAATAGTTCATAAATTTCGATGAAAACCCATCTTCAAAAACTCAAAATTCCTTCACAGAATCATTAGATTTCCCCCAAAATCGACATTATTCACAAATCGAAGCTTCATATTTCCATGAAACCCCATCTAAACAAACATCAGATTACACGCTAATCACATTTCCACAACCAGAAATCGACATTTTCGAGAACACCCATCTGGGAAAATCGACATTTTGAAGAAGAATCAAAACGAAATTAGGGTTTTGAAAAAAGAAGACGAAGAAGAAGAAATCATACCACGAAGAACAGCACCACAACCACCACATTGATAAACAGAGTAATCAGTGATTTCCGGAAGCAGATTCTCGCATTTGGGACAGCGAACCAAGCAAACTTCAGACGCGATGATTTCAGACATTTTTGTTGTGTTGAAGAAGTTCAAATCTTTCGCATTTTGATATGTTGGTATTCAGAGTGAATAATGAAGATTCTGTTGTGAGGATTCACAGATGAATTTGAGAAGAGACCCCATGAAAGACACAAAATTATATTTCCAAGAGAGGGAAGAAAAAGTGAAAACGATAAAAGTTGAAAAGAGTAAATTACGGTTTTAGCCCTTGTTGTTTGATAAGAGTTGCAACGTTCGTTCTTGTCGTTTAGAAATTGGAGTTTTCGTCCCTGTGGTTTGTAATGTTCTCTAGGAATAAATTGTCGTTTCGTTCATCCACTGAGAACCATTCACTGAAATGAAATGCGTTTTTGCTTTTAGGTTGATATTGTACTTTAAGCGATTCGTTGTTAGTTTTGTTAATGGGCCGGTGGTTGAATCACAAACACAATTGGATATCGGATGTAGTCTGAGAAACCTAAACTGCCTTTTTATACTGGCAATATCTAGGGGTGTGCAAAGACTGGATGGTCTGAGATCCAAGCCTGAAAAAACAACAATCAATTGTAAACCATAAAAACGAAAACAAACATTAGGTTATAAATCATAAAGACAAGAAACAATAATGAATTGTAAAGTATATGGACAAAAATCGTAATTTCAAAAGTATAGGGATGAAAAACGTAATTTAATGAAATTGGAAAAGAGGTAAGAGTGTACTTTTCTCTATGCTTTTTTCAGCTGGAGGGTGGTACTGAATTTATGAAACTTACCCTCAAGTTTGGGGAATTTACAGAATTTGGTTAGATTTTGTTTTTGTTTTTTTGTTTACCAAGAAAACAAGGACATGTTGATGTAATTTTAGCAAATCCATTAATTTACACTTTCTAACATTTTAAATAATTTATATCTATTTTTTAAATAACATTTTATCATAAAAAATTATATTTTAATAATAATAATATTATTATCATTTACTGCAATTTGATATGGAATTATTTATTAGGGTTGGGTTCACATGAGATCAGTCTGTTTTCATAAGACCGGTGAGACTATTTTTTTACACTTGAAACTTCACAGCAAAACGTTGTGAAGGTAAAAAAAGAAGTCGAACTTCACTCTAAAGGTTACCTTTACAGTGTTTTGTTGTGAAGTTTCAAATGTAAAAAAATGGTATCGCGGGTCTCACAAAAACAAGCTGGTTTCATGTGATCTCAAGTCTCATTTATTAACTTCCTACAGTAGTTAAAATGAGGATGTAGGAAGCCAATTGGAGATGCTCTTATATATTAAACCTCGTAATGTCTTGTACTATTCACTGTCGCATCAGCAAAAAAGTGTCGATGTGACATTAACAGTTAGCAAAACTCAATTTCTTATTAAGAAATCATACTCACAACACCTATAACTTCTAATACAGAACAGTAAAAGAGATTTGAATTCGTGACCTATAATATCACATGTAATGACACTACCAGTAGATCGCAACAGTTTCTTTAACTTACAGAATATAAAATGGGTACACTTTTAACACCACTGAGGAATTTTTCTATTGCGACAAGTCGAATGACCAATAGCTCGTGTACCTGATATTGTAGGTCCCTTGTATATATACGTATGTACTCAAGGTGTTAAATGATGTGAGTTGTACCATAGTAGATACGCCAAAAGTACGTCTTGGAAAATTGGGTGTTTTGAATAATTTTACATAGATTCTGTTTTTCAGGTAAAGTTTTTTAAGCTCGTTATCACATACAAGTCTGGTTTATTTATAGGGCGGGTAATAACAAGTTATCAAGCATACAAAAAATGGTATGAGTTTTCGACCCCAGTGCCAATAAATGATCGTATCTTAATTCAGATATTTCACACATACCTCTATGTATGTTGGTGTATGTCCCTTGTTTAATTAACGCCTACGCTTCATGTAAATAGCGTTAGAAAATCTGGAAGAAAAAGAACACGTATTCATAAGATGTCATCATCTTGCCTGTGGACCAGCCACAGCCTGTTCATTTTCTTACAAGTACTAACTTGAACATCAAAACGTTTCTGTTGAGAATTCAGACTCCGGACAACTCTAATGTGAATGATATCATGTTCCTGAAAACATGTCAAGTTTTTTTAAGGTGGGTTTCCAAGCCATCTTACACGCACTGACTAATCCTCCAGGCAACCACGAATGTCATGGAGTCGTCGCAGGTGAACCTCCATGACCACAAGGACTTTGACAGCGCCTGGAGTTAAACTTGGATAGATGAGATTTTCCACTACATCCCCTAAAACGTTAACCCGTTCATCACATCCCCTAAGATTTTCCAAAAACATGTCGAAGTGGTGGTCTACCCTTTTAGTTAGTCACTATGTGTGGGTTTTTGGTATCGACAACTACCATTATTACTTTCGTAACAATTATCAGCGTCATCGTTGTCACAGTCATCCTCACCATTGCTTTTATTTTATTTTTAACTATTATTTATAATTTTTGTAACAAATAATGAAAATTATTTATAAATGGTTTTCACTCAAAATTTAATGTAACACAAAATGGCATAATGCAATAAGAAACCAATACAAAACAATAACAAACAGTGAACCGGTACAAAACAATAAGAATTATGAGAAAATGGTTTGAAAAAGCAGGAAATGGTACAAAATCGTACTATTTAAAAATGACGTCAAAAATCAGTGCATACGACGTCAAAAATGACGAAGTTTTCTAATGGTGTGGTTTATTAGACTTATGTTTATATAATCAAACACTTTATTGATCCTATAATATTAACTCCTATGACTGATTGTTTAATTATTATTATTTCATGTTATATATAACAGTAATTCTAAATAACCCAGCTGCTATTGCGTCCCCTATCTATTATTTTGTTTTTACACGCATGGAGGTAGACATGGCCAAAAATCGGTCTCGGGTCAGCCGGCCCGGGCCCAAATCGGTTCTGGGTTGAAACAAAAACAATTCGGACAGGTCCCGATCTCATCGAAAATACTAAGGCCCGTTTAAGAGTACTTGTAACATGTTACGGTAACCGGTCCCGGTCCAAGGCCGAGCCCAAACCGGTCCTATATCAAAAAAAAAAAACAATTTCTTTTTATATCTTCTTTAAAAAAATTGATAAATTTTTAAAAATATTTTAATGTTATTATAATACATTTTAAAATATCTAATTAGGTCAATTAAATACACTTAAAATACGTTTTATTGTAGTTTTATAATTGGTTTTCAATCAAATATACTTAAAAATTACGTTTTATTATAGTTTTATAATTGGCTTTCAATCAAATACTTAAAAAAATATGTTTTATTGTAAATTTATAATTTAATTTTCAAACAAATAAACTTAGAAAGTTATTAACACATATAAAAATATATTTTTTTTGAAAAAAAAATGGGCCGGGTCGGGCCTTGTTTTTGAACGAAAATCATAACCGGTCCTTAACCGGCGGTCCCAAACCGGTCTCAATCAGTCCCGAGCCAGGCCCATTTGGCCATATCTACATGGAGGTATTCAAATCTATAACAGCTGCTTACTAATTTTCTTCTCATATGTATCAACATCAAACCTTACTTTTTATATTTTCAGTATATAGTTTGACTCAATACTGATATAAATAGATGCGTATATAACAACATTTTTTCACATACTCAGAACATCTCCAACAACTATTTTATTTTAATTTTTTTTTAATATTTTGGAAAAGATTTGTTT